TTTCAAGCTTACAGGCAGAATAACCCATACTCCAACACCTACAATCCTGGGTATCGGAATCACCCGTACCTTTCCTACCGGAGTACTAATGTTCAAAATACACCACCACAAGAACCACAGGCGCCACAACAACAGCAGTAGAAATATTACCATCCCAATGCTGGCCAGAAGAACCAACCACAACAACCCTCCTCATCTTCCGACCCTACTTTGGTGGAAATTAGAGCGATGCTAGTTTATATGCAGAAGCACATGGAGAGTAGAGATGCCCAAATTGATTCAATTCTAGCACATAATAAAATTGTAGATAATCAGATTGCGCAACATTCCACTACTCTACAAGCCCGCCAACAGGGAGCTCTGCCAGCACAGCTGACCAAGCCTACGGATCAAGCCTATGCATTTACTCTAAGGAGTGGTTCAAACTATTAAGGGCCCCCTATGCCCAGAGTTGATGAACCTATTTTATTAAATAATGCTAATCTTGATTCCATTAAACCTGACAATGTAGCTAATAGCCCTGCAGGGCTAAAGCATAATACTAATATATCTACTTCTACATTGCAGGGTACGACTCCAGAGAAGGTGGCCACTCCAGATAAGAGCAATAATGCTCCAAAGCCAATTATCAAACTTCCATTCCCCAATCGTCACTTGAAGACAAACTTGGATAAGCAGTTTGGTAAGTTCCTGGAGATGGTAAAAGATTTGAAGGTAACAGTTCCCTTCACCGAATTAATCACACAAATTCCTTCATATGCAAAATTTATGAAAGAAATATTGACAAGAAAAAGGTCTATTAGTGAGGTAGAGACAGTAGCTTTCATTGCAGAGTATAGTGTCGTACTTCAAAATAAATCTCCACCTAAATTAGAAGATCCGGGTAGCTTTTCTATCCCTTTTCATATTGGCAATCTAATGATTGATAATGCATTGTGTGATTTGGGTGTTAGCGTTAGTGTTATGCCATTATTTGTGTGTTCCAAATTGAATATGGGTAAATTAAAAGCTACTAATATTACTCTACAAATGGCCGACCGTTCTTTCAAATACCCCTTAGGTGTTTTAGAGGATGTCCCCGTTAGAGTAGGTAAAATTTATATACCCATTGATTTTGTTGTTCTTGATATGGCTGAGGATATGCAAACCCCGATTATTTTGGGTAGACCATTCCTTAACACTGCAGGAGCAATTATAGATGTGAGAAGTGGTAAATTAACACTATCAGTAGGGGACGATAATTTATTTTTTAATCTTAATAATACCCCTAAAAGCCCCATGACAGAGGAGAAATGCTTTAGTGTTAATGTGGTTCATAATTATTCTAACAAGCCCCAAGCTCTTGAAAAAGATCCCTTGGAGGCGGTATCTTGTGTTGCATCCCTTTCAGATGAGATAGACAAATGGCAGAAGGAAGTTGATGCAATAGAAAGAGCCCTCTACACTGTCGGTCTTGGTTTTGAGGATGAAAAGGTGGAATCAATCAAGCAAGTTGTGCAATTTGAGCCTACGGTAAGTGTTCCGCCGGATCTAGTTGCAAGTGTAAATGCAATGACAATTTGAAGCAACCCTTGATCAAAGAAGGATCTTTAGTGCGTAGCATTGAAGAACTCCCAATCCAAGTCAAGGAGGATCCACCAGACAAAGTGAATTGGCGTTCCACAGGGCATGTCAGGAAGCCGCGTCGCAGCCAAAACACCGCTAGACCGGGTGAGAAACCGCTCGATCAAGCGTTAGGCCAAGGGTCCTAGTTATTGTACTTGGTAAGAAGGTCGTGCGGGACCTAGATAAACCAGCGCTTTGCGGGAGGCAACCCGTATTTTTAATGCTTTTTAGACTAGTTTTTCTTTCTTTTTCTTATGAGAGAAGAGATGAGGGAATTTAATGAGTTTTATGAGTTTTTGTATAGTTTTGAAGGAAAAGAGTTAGCCAAAAATTGAAGAAAAGAAGGAAGCAAAAAAAATCGTCCAATTAGCCTCGAGCCCGATCGGGCGAATGCCGCCCGACCGGGCACGAGAGAAAGGGTGGAAAAAGCTCAATTTTTGCCCGACCGGGCGAAGGCCGCCCGACCGGGTGCGAGACTTGACGTTTACGGACATCTTTTTTCGCCCGATTGGGCGAATACCGCCCGACCGGGCGCGAGAGATAATCAAATTTAGGGCGTAAGATCGCCCGACCGGGCGCGAGAGTTGAAGGAAATTCGGGTAACAGATCGCCAGACCGGGCGGTATGGCGCCCGACCGGGCGCGAGAACGAGATATCTTAAACAGCCCAGATCGCCCGACCGGGCGAGGATCCGCCCAACCTGGCGCGCCTATATTCCGGGTCTTATTCTTCGTCTTCCTTCATTCTTCCTCATTTTTTTCTCCTTTTCCTCCATACTTTCTCTCTCTAAAACTCAAATTTCCTCTAACTTCTCTCTAAGTTTTCTCCTTCATTCCTCAACCAAATTCAAAACTTTTTACATATTTTTAATCCCCTCTTCATCCTCTACATTTCTATATCAAAATTTTCGAATTCCATTCAAATATATTTACATACCCATTTTTACTATGGCTTCAAAGAGGGCTCGATCTATTTTCGGTAGGAGTTCTAGTTCGAGGGAGGAGTATGACCCGGATTTGCAACTCCCGTACTGGCCGACGATCCGTATTGCTAGCCAGGAGCAAAAGGAGCGGCTAGAACACCTAGTCGGGCGCGAGGTAATTCCTTCACGGTGGTTACACTGCCCTACTTTAGAATCGTATGGTTTGTATGATTTTCTGAAACGATTTTTTAATGACATAGGCATGAGAAAATTTGTTGATATGCACTATCCTACATACCGTGAATTAACTTGTGAATTCTTGTCTTCTTTAAAAGTTGTAAATAGTAGAAATGGGCCGAATTTAATTTTTAGGTTGAACAATAGAAATATTAGTTTAACATTTGTGGAATTTTGTAAATTGTTTGAATTGAATTCTGAATTACCATTCCAATGGCATGCTAATTACAAAATGGGTGACATTTATCATGCTCTGACTGGTTTGCCTACTCCCGACCCCCAACATGCTAGTACCAAACCTATTCATCACCCTGTCCCAAAAATCTGGCAAAGATTTGCGGGTTTGTGTTTTTTAGGTAGGAACGAGCCCCATAACGCCCAAACTAACGAACTAGCTGTTATAGGTCACTATGTGTCTGGGTTTGGGAAATTGAACATAGGTAGGTACATTATTCACCATTTGAGCAGACATGCCACGGCCAGTACCCAATCTCGCACCCCCAATCGTATAGGAGGCCTTATCACTAGGATAGCTGTGAAAAAGGCCGGTTTTGTTTAGGATGGACCCCATCAAATGACTAACTGTGGACCAGATACCTATATGACTGCTAAGTATTTTGAGGAGTTGGGGTGGGTACGACCGGATACTGAGCAGACACCCCACTAGTGTATTAGGACTGGGACCGAGCAGCCTTTGCCCATCTTTCCCCTACCTAGTCTTGACTTGACCGCCTTTCCCCCAGGGCAACCATCTTACACATATGACCTTTTAGTTGCCAACGCTAGGGGGCAAGCACCACCAGTACCTTCACCAGTTCCACCACCCCAGCCTCAGCCTCAGCCTCAGCCCGAGGTGGCATTTTCTCCACCTCGCATGTCTCACTCCATCCCCCATGTTGACTCTGTCCCAGTTTGGGACCTTCAGAGTATAGGTCAGACCTTAGGACGTATCGAGCATTCTCACACTAACCTTAGGAGGATGGTAGGCTGTGTAGACCAGAGGTTAGGGTACCTGGAGAGGAACCATGGTAGAGCTCTATGTACGATGATTATGTTCGTCGGGGCAACATTCCCGACGATGATATTTACCCTGACTGGTTCCAGCCTCCACCCGAGGGATACGATAGGGATCCCACTGCCCATGGTATTTACACTGACTATTCTGCCTTCCATGGGTACGGCCAGGACATTCCTTTCGGGGGACCGGCGGGGGGGAATTTTCATGCTGATTATTTTGGTGGTAGCTCAGGTGGTGCAGGTGGCAGTGGCGGTGCAGGTTTTGGCCACATGGATGAGGATGATCAGGACTAGCTATGTTGGGCTAGTTCCCGAGCCAATGAGGACATTGTCTGATTCTGGCTTGGGGGAGATTTTGGATTTGGTATCTTTCTTTTTCTCTTTTCTTTTATTTTTGGTGTGTTTTCTTAGTTTAGATTTATTTCTTTCTAGGTTAGTTTAGTTCAGCTTCAATCATTTCAGTTTAGTTCAGCTCCTAATTTTCCTCTCTAATAAAATATTCATTTCAGCTTTGTTCAGCTCCTAATTTTCCTCTCTAATAAAATATTCATTTCAGCTTAGTTCAATTCAGTTCATTTTAGCTCCAATCATTTCAGTAAATGAGAACAGACTCTAACTGAATTGATGATATTTGTAAGTGTCAAACCTAGATGATATGTTTAGTTGGCCGGATGACATGGTTAATTGTGTGAATGATATGAAAAATTAGATTCATATATTGTATTTTTTGTGAATTTTTGAGCTTAACATTTTAGACTTTTAGTTAATTTTCTTGGCGAATTTCATTTATGTTCTTCTATATATATTTATGAACGCAAAATTTTCATATTAAATATGGGATAATCTAATTTCATATAATTTATATAAATTTTCATATAAAAAAAAAAAAGGGTCCATCATGTCCAAATTCGTACAGAACCGAACCGGATGGTTTTGGTTTGGTCTCCGATTTGCAGAAATAGGTGAATTTAATTCCGATCCCGTCCAATTTTGGACTAGCTTATAGCCTTATTCCAACAGAAGGCCAAATGTAGGTGTTCACGCCATCATAAACTAGAGAGAAGCCCAATAGTAAGTGGATTAATATAAACCATCTGACTTTTTAAGATGAAAAAGTTGACCTACCGTTGTTGATCACTCCTTTAGTTAAGCAGAATGATAGATTGATAGTGTCAAATGACTTTGAAATATAGATTAGGAAAAAAGAAACCAAAAAAAAAAAATAAAAAATTGTACTTTCTATTAGAAAAGGACCAATATTCGACGAAGGCCAAGCCCACGGAAATCCGAATTCTGAGAACAATGTTTAAGTAAAGCATATATACTCATAACATGAAAAAACATGCAAGAAATTAAAGAAAAGGTGTTGTAAGTAATTGGTTACAATTTAAAACCAAGTTAAATTAGAACCAACCTTAAATTTATTTTCCCAACAATGTTGTTTATGCATGACTATGGTTTACAAGTAAAATTATACGGGTTTTATTTTGCCTATAATCGATTAAAGACAATAGGAGCGTCAAATTGTGGTCTAAGACCTCCTATGGTCGATGGAGCATGAACATAGGATGGTGAAAGCTCGAAAGAGAATCGTTGTAGAATCAAGGCTAATGTCATTTTGGCTTCGGTCATGGCGAAATTCGATCCAATGCATATTCTTGGGCCCCAACCAAATGAGAAAAATGACATATTCCCTTTTGTTGCCTTGGAGATCCCTTCACTAAACCTTAATGGGTTAAATTCTTTAGCATCATCACCCCATAGTTTCTCATCTTGTTGGATGAGGGCAATTGGAAGATTGACTAACACTCCCGCCGGTAAGAACACATCTCCTACTCTAATATCTTCTGTAACTGTACGACTTATTTCTAAAACCGGGGGATATAATCGAAGAACCTCTTGGAGTATCATGTTTACCTTAAAAGATAAGACAAGAAATAAGTCATAAGAACATGTTGATTTCAAAACTATGGTTTATAAAAAAAATGTCACCTTTATTTTTTCGAATTAATATATTTCGTATAACCTTAACACTTACAGTTTTTAGATGATTTAATCCTTGAAAATCCGGGATGCAATTCCCAAATGTGTTTAATATCTCTTCTCGTGCTCGAGCCTGCCATTCTTGATACTTTCCTAGCATAATAATTGTCCATACAAGTAGCGATGAAGTGGTACCTTGGCCAGCTAAGTAGAACAACTTACTTTCATTAATCACCTCTTCAATGCTCAACTCAATGTGTTTTTTGTTATTTAGTCCATTGTCTTTAAACTTCGATTCCAATAACAATCCCAACAAGTCATCCTTTGGTTTTTCTCCTCCTTTTATTGCTTTCTTTCTCTTATCAATAACACCTTTTAGTAGAGTGCGACATTCCTTGTCAATTTCCACAATTCTTCTATTTGCCTTGGTTGGGATAAACCTAAACCACAAAATTTAAAATTCCAATTAAATACTCTTTGTAGTATTGACAAGATCTTGGTTATAAAATATTAACTTATTATAGATTAATAAATTTCAACATAATTAAGCAAGTATCATAATTCATAAAAAATAAAAGCTTTACATAGATAAAATAAAGTTTCAAAAACATGATAAAAATAATCTCAACTTTCACGTATTTGCTTTAAATAATTTCAAGTTTAATTAGTTTATTCTAACAATACCCTCACACGCACACATTCAATAAAACATGCAAGTACGAAGTAGTAGTTTTGAATTACCTCCAACCGGGGATATAAACTGCATTAAAAACTGGAATTGCAATTTGTATTTGTTCGATTAATAGCTCGAATATTCGCTTCCCTTCTTCGTAACTACTTCCAAATGCAGCTCTAGAAATAAGATCTGCAGATAATTTACGAAAATATGTCCACACTTCTATTTCACATGAACCTGTCTTCGATGCCATTTCTTCCCACTCTTTAACCATAGCATTGGAGCTTTCCCATAATGCTGGAAGCATAAACTGCAAAACATACCAAAACAAAGAATAGTTTTTAGTATGTATATACAGTACAAAAGAATACATTTCTTGTGACAATATTTACTTAAGGTTTATTCACATTTAATGAATTGAACTGAATTGATTGGAACTATATTGAACTGAATATTTAATAAGGAAGGAAATTAAGAGTTGAAATGAACTAAATTGAGCTGAACTAAAATTAAGCTAGAGTAAACAAGCTCTTAAGCATTGTTAAATTAATACTCTCTCCATCTCATAATACTTGACAAGTAGTTCAAAAAACTACAAGTGAGTCGATTTAAAACATTTGTGGACATCTCCTATTCGGAGTATTTGATGGTCATAAATATTATTTAGTTCTTATTGATGATTTCACTCACTTTGTGTGGACCATTCCTCTTAAATATAAATCTCAAGCCTTCCCTACTTTTGTTAATTTCCGAACTTATGTGCAAACACAATTTGAAACCCATTAAAGCCTTTCAAAGCGATCATGGCCGAGAATTTGACAATGACCCTTTCAAAAAGCAATGCTTAGATATTGGAATGGTTTTTAGGTTCTCATGCCCACATACTTCATCTCAAAATGGAAAGGCTGAGCATATGATCCGCACCATTAATAATGTCAAACGTACACTTCTCTTTCATGCCTCGTTGCCCCCCAACTTTTGGATTTATGCTCTTGAGACCGCTACATATTTATTAAATATATTACCCACAAAAGCTCTCAAAAACATAACCCCCACTCATGCCTTATTTTGAAAACAACCCTCATATGATCATTTGCGAGTATTTGGGTGTCTTTGTTTTCCTAACCTTTCGGCCATTGCTCTGCACAAGTTAGCTCATCGTTCCACCCCATGTGTGTTCCTAGGGTACCCTCCGAACCATCGAGGTTATAGATGTCTCGACCTCACATCAAACAAAATTATTTTTTCAAGGCATGTCACGTTTGATGAAAGCATTTATCCTTACACAAACTTGAGCAAATTTAGTTTAGAAGACTATAACTTTTTGGGTCATGATGACTCCTCACCATTACTCACCCATTTCTTGATGAGGTACAACAGGCCCACTATTCCACAAGCCCACCAAAATTCTCCATTAACTCCAAACCCAAATCAAACTCATTCACCTTTTCACGCCATTACACAGTATACTCCGCAGGTTCCCCGCGGAGATACTTCCCCTGCCGCGACCCCACCGCGGACCCTACTGCCACCCACCACTCCAGCCACGTCCCCTCCCACATACACCCCACCACCACAGCGTGGTGTACCACCCATCCGCCCCACTCGGCCCCCACCTCCTTCACCTCGCATAACTCGTAGTCAACGAGGCATATTCAAGCCAAACCCGAAATATTGCAACCTAACCATTCAAAACTCGGGTCCTACTCCTCATAAATCACCCCTTCCAAAATCATATAAACAAGCCTTAAATGACCCTAATTGGAATGCGGCGATGAATGATGAGTTTGGTGCTTTAATTAAAACGGGGACATGGGAGTTGGTGCCTAGGCCTACGGGGGTGAATATTGTTAATTGTATGTGGCTTTTTAAGCATAAATACAAGTCTAATGGTGACCCTGAAAGGCACAAAGCTCGTCTTGTATGTGATGGCAGGTCGCAAGAAGTCGGTGTGGACTGTGATGAGACTTTTAGTCCGGTAGTAAAACCGGCCACCATTCGCATTGTTCTCAGTTTAGCCTTGGCTAAAAAGTGGTCGATTCATCAATTAGATGTCAAAAATGTCTTTTTACATGGTGACTTGCAGGAAACTGTTTATATGCATCAACCACCGGGATTTATTGATCGTAGAGCTCCCACTCACGTTTGTCGGCTTCAAAAGGCTCTATATGGTTTGAAACAAGCTCCTAGAGCTTGGTACCAGCGTTTTGCAAATTTTCTGATCAAATAGGGATTTGTCATTGCTAAGAGTGACAACTCTCTTTTTACTTTCCGGCAGGGTGATGATATGGCATATTTGCTTCTATATGTTGATGATATTATTTTAGCTACCTCATCTGACAGGTTGCGTACAGGGATTATCTCTCAGTTGCAAACTAATTTCCTATGTCTGACTTGGGGCCTCTGAGTTATTTTTTAGGGATTGCAGTGACCCGTACACCTTCTTATTTGCTACTTTCGCAGGAAAAGTATGCACAGGAGATTTTAGAGCGTGCAGGTATGGCCTCTTGTAAACCTGCAGCCACTCCAGTTGACACTAAGTCCAAACTTAGTGCAGATGCAGGACCACCTTTTCGGGATCCTACTTTGTATCGCAGTTTAGCAGGTGCTCTTCAGTATCTCACTTTTACCAGGCCAGATATTTCTTATGCGGTACAACAGGTGTGTCTGTTTATGCATGATCCCCGGGAACCTCATTATGAGGCATTGAAACGCATTCTGCGTTATATTTAGGGTACCATTGATCATGGCTTACATTTATATCCGACTGTTTCTAATCGATTGATTACTTACACTGACGCAGACTGGGGAGGTTGTCCCGATACCCGACGTTCCACATCGGGCTATTGTTGTTTCCTTGGGGACAATCTCGTTTCTTGGTCATCTAAGCGTCAACATACTTTGTCTAAATCGAGTGCAGAAGCAGAATATCGAGGCGTCGCAAATGTTGTCTCTGAGGCGTGTTGGCTCCGTAATCTTTTACTTGAGTTACATTGTCCTCTACGGCAGGCTACCATTGTTTATTGTGATAATGTCAGTGCTATCTATCTTTCTGAAAACCCGGTACAACACCAATGCACCAAACATGTGGAGATGTATATTCATTTTGTTCGAGAAAAGGTTGCTTTGGGACAAGTTCGGGTTCTACATGTTCCTTCTAGATATCAGTTTGCAGACATTTTCACTAAAGGCCTGCCACGAGAATTATTTCTGGAATTTAGGTCCAGTCTTAGCGTACGTCCTCCTACCGCTACAACTGCGGGGGTGTGATAGATATTATAGGATTACGATAATATTTGTCGCAGAGCTAGGATATATTGTATATATTTTTGATATAGTTTGTATACTTATCATACTAGGTTTCCTAACAAGATTAGGACTAGGATTGTAACAATATATATTATGATCAATGGCACACACTCCAATCTGAGGAGTTTTCCCGAAATCTAACAGTATTTTTATTTTATAAGAAAACAAAATTAAAGTGGGGGAGTTGGCGGTAGTGAGGAGAGATAAAATGTAGGAGTTAATTGAGTTTTGGGGTTTGTGGTTCCAAAGAAAGTATAGGAAAATATTTTTTTTATTAGTGATCTTATTCCATACTCGTATTTAGTAATTAACATGTCAACTGTTTTAGGACGGACGAAAATGGTTACTACGTAAAGTATTATAAAATGGAGCGAGAGAGTATGCAACAAGATAAAAAATGTACCATCAATAAAATAGAATAAATAAATGAATAATGAAATAAGAAACTATTGTGTTACACTTACTTATGTGTAAATGTGTAATCAATGCTTAAGCACCACATATTTGATATTTCTATGAGAAGTCAACAATTCTTTATAAATATTATGGATCACAAGCGATAGGTGCATAAAGGTATTATATTTTTTTTTTTTTAATTGACATCTTTTTATTACTCCCTCGGTTTCATAATGTTAGTCCCAAATATAAAATCAATCACATAAATAAGAAAGCAAATATATTTGGAATCTAACATTAAAGTACAACATATATGTATAATTTATAATTGGTTTACCTTATTTAACTTTTTTGATTTTTTTATTAGGAAAGCACAAGTCATAATTGTATAATTTAAGGTAAAAATTTCCTTACTTAGAGTCATATCATTAATCCACAATCAATTAATTCCAAAAACAATCTAGTTATAAATAAAATATATTCAATATGGGTACATCCTTTTTGAAACGCCTAAAATGTATATGGGACTAACATTATGAAACGGAGGGAGTATTATGTTTGTCAACGTATGTTTTTAACGTTTAATAACTCTTACTATAAACATTGTAAAATTATAAAAAGTAGATATTAATAAATTATACATTGAGACAATTCAAATAAGACCGATTATATTTTATCGTATCTATAAATCACAAACGCAAGTTAATTATAGTATGTGAATAATGTAAAAATAAAATGGTGTCACCTAATAAAAACAAAGGAAGTTTATATTATCATAACATATATTCGTAAAGGATGTGCTTTTTTCTTAAAGTGAACCTTATCCTACACTAGTCGAGAAAGCAAAGTGCCAACTTTGATTTAACGTCATATACGATGACAACAATAACCAGCCATAACCATAAAATTGGATTGATTCTATTAAATTCACTTCTATCTATTGATACATACCCCTTTAAACTCGTATTCTTAAATTATAACTTACACAATTTTTAAATTTCTAAACCCCAATTACTCTTTTCTTACTTACAAGGCCATATTCTAGATGGTATAGTATTCCACATGTTCAAAGTTGCCCAATTGATATTTAACCTATATGATAGATTGATAGTATATATTAAACTAATTATGGATTAAAATCATAAATTTAAATTTTTAATTATCATTAAATATGAAATCAATACTAACATGACTCAAAGGTCAGTAGATCACGGGTTTATTAAATCTAAAAGTAAGAAAATACTTAAAAAATGACTGTGTTAGGAAGTATTGATTTTAAAAAATTATAGATCGAATATTAAGTAACAGTTGGCTTTATAAGAGTATAAAGAAGAAGTGAATAATGTAAGAAGTATGGAGTATAACCTCTAGCTTGTCCATGTGAAAAGCCGGAGTAAGAAGCTTCCTCCTTGTAGCCCAAAATCGGCCCTCTAACATAACTAAGCCAGAGGCAACCTTCTCTAAAAGAGGGTTAGTCCTTGGCTTTTGAAACTCGTGGAACTTCATGAACACTTCTCTTATCAACTCTGGTTCCGCAATCGTGACCAATGGCACTGGTCCATTCCATACAAAACATTTTTTACCTGTAAAATTTACATATGGAGTGATGTTTTATAAGATATAAATAACATTAAAAAAAATGTACAATTGTTGTTTATTTGGTTTAATCAGTCACGCAAATGAGCAAATTGGTTATGTTCTTATAACTAGACAAGTTAGATCATTGAGTACAACTCTACTAATTTTTATATGCAAAATGAACAATATTCATTTGCTCATTTGGTTTAAGCAAACATGATAAAATTATAAGAATTTAACAATTAATTAAATTGATACTATTTTGAGAGCAAACATACCATATTTGTTCAGAGTTTGAAGGAAAAACGGGAGGACACGTGGAAGATAATCATTGGACGAATTAGGCAAAGGGGGGCATGCTCTGGCTTCCATAGTCATAGTAGCTCTATCCTTAGTGTCTCCATGCAATAGCCTATAAGAATTACCTTTAAACCCTTGATTTCTAAGGCATCTTTCTAATCTTTTTGGCCTAAACCATACCCAATTCAACACACACCATGACACACTCACTAATACAATACATGCCAAAGAAATTGCTATAGACATGCTTGTCACTTCCATATATGCTACACACTTTTCGCAAAGTATGGTCGAATTGAGTATTTAAATAAGACTGTCCTAACTTTTGTATATTTTTCTTATACGAAAAAAAAAAAATTTGTTTCTACACAGGAGAAAAATGAAGGGATAAAAAGAGAGTATAAGATATGACAAAAAAGATATAGTATGTGGAGTAGAATAATGAGTAATATTATTTATAACTTATAAGGTTTGCATATTCAAATGGAGCAGTCTTCAAAAACAAAAAAAAAATCAAATGGACCATGCAACTTTAACTAGCTTAGGCTTCAAGACAAATGCAACCGCCTATGATGTTTCCTACGTTACTTGTTACGGAGTATAATCCAACGGAGTATTTTAATGAAATATGATTTGTTAATTACTCCTTTCGTCTCCAATTGATAGTCACTTTTGTCATTTTTGATGACTCAAAATGTTAGTGATATTTGCTTTTTTTCAACTATTATTAATGTTATTTTTTTATCAAAATTCTTTAACATTTACAAAAATATTTGTGTAAATTTAACTTTTCCATGTAGTTTAATTACTTTTTCTCTCTACTTTTTTGCATACCCAATATATATTTACTTTTACAATATACTTTCTTTAATTCTTTTTAATTCCCGTGACTTTTCTTTATAAGTGAATATCAATCAGGAACAGAGAGAGTAACTTATAATAGGCATTCTTGTAGTTGTCGGACTAATTACGTATTCATAGTAAGGAAAAGTCTTAAAGCAGAATATTAACAGTATTTAGACATTGACTTATTGACTCCAAACATCACAATTAAAGGCATCGGGATCTCCAATGGCAAATCTATTACGTCACTAGTGACGTTTGTGCTCTTCTCGACAACTCTAGTGTGAGAAATTCATTTAGAAGTAAATGACGGTGCAATAGATTAGATTATTAATGCCAGTCACTGGTCATTTGTTGTTGCAAATCATACATTTTTCATATGATCTATTAAATTATTGTGTTTTACGAAGTATAATTTCTTTTTGACGAGGGGACTATCAATCTTTATAGTTGTGGAAAAAAAATTATAATTTATGCATCTGATTATAATCGAAAGTTTCATCTTCTCAAATATCACAAAAATATTTAACCATAAAACAACTTTACAACAATATAACACAAAAAGACAGTACAAATTCTCCAATCCCTCCAAAAGTGATGAAAAATCCTGCATTTTTGTAGGAGAAAAATCTTTTTAAGAAGACTAAAAAAACTCTTTCTTTCAAATGATGAGAAATGTTCCTCTAAGAATTATTATAAAACTAAAAATGAAGAAAAAAGACGTACAAGAAATAAAGATTGAACAAGAAATAAAGATTTGACCCTTTCACTTATAAAAATGGATAAAATTTTCTAGGTTAAGGTTTTAGGGATAGGAGATATGAGAATTATTAGTAAAAATAAATAGGTTTAATTTTATGTTGTTCCACCCGATTCACCCTTTGGCCTAATTGGATTAGGAGGTTAAGTTTCAGTCCCCTCTCAATTTTGTTGCGGGATATCGAACACAAGTCCTCCCAACTAAGTGCAATTCCAATCACCACTGCACCAACAAATAATTGGTAAAAAAATATAAGAAAAATCGACATAAATAATCTCACCTTTTAGTGGTATGCTCATATAGTCATGTTAGTCTCACCTTTAATTAAGGAAAAATTTGACATTTGCTACCAATGAAAGCACCTTGTGTCACATTTGTTACCCATTTAATTTTGTATTTTACTTTACTACCAGCCAAATCCCCTAACTACATATTTCACTACTAGATAATGGTACACTTTCTGTCAATGTTGCCGTTAATTGAGGCCCAATTTATCCATCAACACACCAATTTATTAACCTACACCCCACTAACCACTCACCAACACTCCCTTGCTTAGAACTCCTCATGCAAACACCTCACTAACCCTTGCCCAACCACGCCTTCAATATCAGCACCATTCACACCATCATTGACATCACATCGAACCGTCACAACTGCCACCAGCGCACCCACAGCACCGAACCCCCACAACTCCCTTGCTCTCTCCAACATCACCAAGTTTATCCTACACTTCAACCCCTACCGCAAAATTGCAACGAGCACCGCCTAAACCAACATTGCCGCCTGCCGCACCACCGCAGGAAGCGCGCTCCACGAGCAGCCCTGCACCACCATCAACAAAAGCCAACAGCCCAATAAAACAAATAGAAGCCCGCAAGAAGCTCTAATTCAACACGCAATTTCAGTATTTGGAGCCCCACAATTGGCAATTTACGCCCCAATTAAACCAAAGAATCAGAGACTCTAGTGCAAAAATTAATGAAATTGGGCGGCTGAGATGCATTGAATCGAATCAATGGCTGTGATTTGATGATGATTGAAGGTGAAGTGTTTGAAGCCATTGATTTCAGTTGATGGTGGATGATGTAGAAGCGAATCAGAGCAGCCAAAGAAAACAAACAGGGGAGGGGGTTGATGATGTAGCGGTGGTAGTCGTCAACAGGGAGAGGCTTCGTGCCGGCGATGGGAAGGGGGTGGTCAGTCGCCGGTGAGGGGAGAGGTGGCAATGAGGTTTCGGGGTAGAGTTGATTGGGAAATCGAGGTTGGACGGTGGTAGTGAGGTGGCTTGGTTGGCAGTGAGGTGGTTGAACAGTGGTTAGGCCCCAGTAATGGAAACCGTAGCATCATAAGGCAACTGGTATGATATCTATAATTTTGGGATTTGGGTGGTATTTAAGTAAAATAAAAAAATTAAACGGGTAGCAAATGTGACACGATCCTTTCGTTGGTAGCATATATCAAATTTTCTTTTAATTAACTCATAATAATCACAACTTCAAGGCCTATCAGTTTTAATTAGACCCTCTTCACTTATGATTTGCTACACCCGGTTATTCAATACGAAAACCGATATATATATATATATTGGCACCATTGATTGTCTCCATTACTGAATATTGGTACGGCTACGGGGCAGCGTCTAGACAGCTGGAGGTGGGTAGGGTTAGAGCACCAGCATCAAGGCCGTTTACAATCCTTTCCGTGGCTTTTTCATGTCCTTTCCCAATCCTAATGGATGCTATTACTTGGGAAAGATAACTGTTAGGGAAAGGATATTGTAGTATCCTTTCTCTGGAAAGGAAATCTCGCCTCGGCCCAAGTGCCATGTTAATTCAACAATCACAAACAAAAGCATACAACGACTATATTGGAAATCATCCAACGCTCAACTTGTTGACACTTGTCAACATCTTGTTTCTTTATTTTTTTTTGCTCCAAAATATTATAACGGCTATAATTTGCAAACGGTAACTTATTTTTGAAATCCGAAAACACCAATGGTCATAAAACATTTTTGTCTATAAAATGAGTATAAATTTGCTATATTTTCACAAATTTCAGTTTCACTTGTACAATACTCTTAAACACAAAATTATTCTAATCTCCATATTTTCAAGTTTATTTTTCTCCATTTCACTTCCAATTTCTTAGAGACTTCAATATGGATCGTAATAATTCTAATTACGGTCGTAACCCAATTTTCCTGACAATTCAAACTTTCAATTTAACCAATCTAATCCTCCTGTTGGCCCTAATTTGTTGAGTAATCCTCAAATTCAAGCTGCATTTTTTCAATGGTGTAGTAGTCAACCAAGACCAACAAATTTCAATAATATTCCACCAATACAACCAAATTTTCCTCATAATTCCCAATCCTATCAACAAGCTTTTGGTAATACCCCTTTTTTCCCTATATCAGAACATTTAACTCAAAATATGAATCAATCTCCAGGTGGAGTTTGTAGTAGCAATGCTACTCCAATAGAGTTAAGTGGTGAACATGTTGAAGAATTAGCGGGAGCACAACATCTTGAAGAGATTGACAATGTTGAAGTCGAAATTGTTCCAGAAGTGCAACTTAATACATCTGCACAAAGGAAAAACCAAGCATGGAGTATCGTCGAAGACAAAGCTCTTGTATCAGCCTATATAAATGCAGGAGGCGATGTGGAGAGGGAACCAAGACCAAGAGAGGCGGGTTATGGGCAGAAATTCACAACTAGTACGAAAAGGCTAGAGCTGAAAATCTCAATGAGATTAAGGTAAGAAACGTTAAATCTTTGCAAAATCGATGGGATCACATAAATGAACATGTAAGTAAATGGGTTGATGCCTACGGTTATCATTTTCGAACTAAGGGTAGTGGTGAATCTGAGCAAAATTTGGAGAGATTCGCTTACATAGATTACAAAGCAACTAACAATAAGATGTTTTGTTATTTGCATTGTTTTGCAATTCTGAGGAAATACCCCAAATGGGATCCCTCCTTGTCCAAAGTTCAGTCCGATATGTTACCGGGTGGTCAAGCATCTACAGATAGTGGGGGGAGCGGTAAAAGATCCCAACCCGATTCTCAGTGTGAGGTTGGCGGAAGGGCTAAAAGACCTCTTGGCATAAAACAGACAAAGATGAAAGGTAAAGCATCAAGTACTTCGTCAAGTGTAAATCTTGACTCTTTAAATACAAATTTTAATGACATGGGACAGAAATTGGGTCAATTGGGAGAGCGACTACTTGATCAGATGAGAGAACGAGATGAAGAACAAAAGGCCCGGGTAGAAGAAAAGAAAAGGCAGAAGGAGGAGGCTATGAAGTTCAGAATGTTAGAAAGGTTAATGCAGAAGCCCGTTCTTGATGACAAGGAATTAGCAATGTATAACAAACTGAGAGACAAATTTAGTAGTAGGTTTTCACTTTAATTTCATTTTAGTATTTGCAATGTTTGTATTTTAATTAAGTATTGTAAGGTACGCAAGTTATTTTTTTTAAAAATTGTTTGTGCTACTAATAATGTTGATGTTTATGTAGTGTTGTTATTGTTGTTTATGTATTAAATTAATATTAGTGTATTTTAATTTGTTTTTAAAAACTATGATGTCTCTTTTACCTTTTGACAACACTCATGCATGCATTGGTAAAAAAAACTGACCTTGCAAAATTCTGCATGCATTGGTCATAATTCTCACCATACAATCCTTATCTTATCCATATCTTATGTGCACCAATTATGTTTTAACAAAATCTTATATTCTGACCAACAATATCCTATTTTTGTCTATTTAAAGTACATGATTTGTATCTTCTAGTGTCACAAACAAACACACCAAAAATAAAACACCAAACACAATATGAGCTTAGATTCAATCTCTTCAAGTTCTTCAAGCTCTTCCTCCTCAAGTATAACTGATAAAATTTATGATCACATGGTCATGAATTTTATAAATGAGAGTCAACGTTTAGTTACGATGCAAAATT